GTTTAGCTCACTACTTGACTTGCCCCGTGGCAGATGCAATAAACAAAAAGGATTGTCCCCTCTCTCTCTCTCTCTACCAGGCTTGGGGCTTGGGGTTGGTCGGACCCCTCACCCCGCACGCGAGCGCGCACCTGCCGGTCCAGGCAGGATTTAAACGTCCCAACGAGGGTTATCCCCTCGTGAGCTTGGCTGTACATCCCCCTCTGCTCGGCATGCGGTTTCCTGGAAACAAACAAACGGAAGCGTACATAGACTAATGGACCCTCTCTCTTCTTCAACACAGACAAAGGGAAGGCTGAAGACCCCCCCTCGCGCGCGTACGCGCCCTGGCAGTCTCGGTCTCAGGTGAGACTTCCATTTCAGATGAGGGCCCCCGTGCAGCAACTCTTGAACCATCTAAACTCTCTCTCTCTCTCTCTACGAGGTGGGAGTCCCAAGGCGGTCCAGCCCCGAGACTCGCGCGCGCACGCGCACCCGCATGTCCTGGGGTGTCTCACTCCCCTCCAAACAGATTTTCTGCTTGGAGCTCAGCTTGACAGGAACAGGAGTCCCCCGCAGAGTGGGATGCCAGATTAGATGGTCTCTCTCTCTCTCTCTCTCTCGCGCTCTCGAGGTTCGGGCAAAAACCAGCGCTGCAGACATGCACAGCTACATCCTCTCACGGTCGCATTTCCTCCCAGGCCCCCTATGTAGGTCCTGAAGTAGAATCAGCTCCGGAGCGCGATACCATCGTGTCACCACATGCCTGGCTAAAGTCTGAGCACGCAACTCGATGTGGTGAAATTGTTGAAATATGATGTATGTTTTCTGCTGTAAGATCTCGGCCCCGTCAAGTTCTTGGCGGCCCTCTTCGTGTGCGGAACTTGAGGCAAGGGGGCCTTCCACTGTCTCCACAAGCGGTGATATCAGTCACATCGAAAAAACGCCAGCAGCTCTAAAGCTGTAGCGCCTGATCCCCATCCCGCGGCGTGTGGGGTAAATGCTTCAAGTGCTTCTGCTCGCCTGACCGGGGAACTCGCTGCCATATCCCCAGTCTGCGACGCAAGTAGCCTTTGATAGCGCGAGACAGACCGAAGTCTCCGATCTTGACGGTGCAATCCTCGAAGTGTTGAATGTTTCAATGCGACGGAGCTACAGTGTTGAAATTACAGCCGGGCCCGTCCTGGTTGACGAAGCAATTGGCCGGCTTCAGGTCCCGATGGTAGATGCCGGCTGAGTGAATGTAGTTCAAGCCTGGGCTCTCACGAGTACACCACGTACTCTAGTGGCCAGAAGACAGGAAGGCCCTGACCCACGAGCAGATTGTACAAGAGAGTGTTAACCTTGCGAGAGCGGAGAGCGAAACAGATTCTGAAAGGTGTCCTCCATAACATGAAATCATACCACCTGCACCTCGTCGTGCCCAGCCAGTTTACAGCCAAGCATCGTGAATTGGACTGAGTGTGACATCTTGCCTTGCGAGCAGACAAGCTGCATCGGGAAGCCGGCGGCCGTGATTCACATGTTGGCATACGTGGGCTTGTGTCGTTTGGGCAATGCTGGCGATGTGAGTGCACACGAGCTCGGAACTTGGACAGTTGAGGCCGCGAGCCTCACAGCCTCCCGACACTTCAGCGGCCCTCCAACATGTTACGGCATTTCAGTGGAGAAGAGCGGCCCTTCAGACTTCGCGAAATCAAGTATGAGCGCAGCAATGCATCGCAGTGCGACAGTTCGCGGCTGCAAGCCGCAATCGTCAATTGAAACATGGATTCGGGTTAATTAAGCTTGTCGGACAAGACCTCGTCCGTTGCGAGTGAGTTGCGAGTGAGCTCGCCCTGTTCCGTGCTGACAGCAAGAATCACGAAGAGTACACTGGGGGCATGTTTTCCTTGCACACAACGCCCGAGTCTCCGATGGCGCAGACGGCTTACCGTCGCTTGCGGGACTTGCGCGTGCTGTGAGTGTGTCGTTCACCTAGCCCCTGTACGAAACAGCTAGGGCTGTTGAAGCAAGAACAAATCGAAGGCCAATGGCTTTCTTACACTCCGTAACAGAAGACATCAGAGCACAACAATCCAGCAAAATCGTAGCATCGATCAATCGTCACGAGAAATCTCGAAACAGTCAGACGTAAGACGGGGCTGGAGAAGTTGCAGAACTTGGATAGCCTGCACAGCTTCTTCAAGTCTGAATCGCAGAGCTCCATTATCATGTAGATCTCCGTGAATCTGGCCATATCTCCTGCGGAACTCATCTAATCGACCGACAATGCGGCTAGCAAATCGAAAAAAGGATCCCCACACCAACAGGCAGGGCCTGGAATGTAAAAGTCCGACACCTTGACAACATTCCTGAATGCAAGAAGCAGAAGACTGCGAAAGCATAAAGAACGATGTGTCCGTGAGTTCTGCCGGCAAGCAAGAATTCGCACACACGGACGGCCTGTGACTCAGCTTGGACAAAATGCTTACCTGCAGGACGGTCCCAGGAGCAGCATCCTCCAGACCTCAGCCTGCCTCTCTGAGAATGCGCTTGCAGTCAACGAGGTCTTCGAAGATGCGCTTGCACTTCTTTATGGCAACAGGCTGCCTCGGGCCGCAGATTACCCGCAGATACCCGCTCCATGGCTCAATGTCGCACCCGACATCGGGGCCAGGATGCCGCTGACCGTTGAAGTCATCTTCGGCCTCGCAAACGCTGCCGTAGGAGCCGGAGCCGATAAGTTCTGTGACCTCAGAGGCACAGGCAGTTCGGGAGACCCCGCCGCCCAAGCGCCCCAAGGCCCAAGGCCTTGTAGCGGGAAGGGAGCTGCCAGCTCTCGCCTGGATGCCTTTCTTCGCACCAGGAGGGAAGAACAAAAAAGAGAGGCGACCTCCTGCAGCACTTCGCTAGGTCGTTACACTACACGTGCAGTGGTGCAGCCCTGGTTGCTTGGGAAGAGAAGGCATGTCCTGACAGCCAACAGTCAGGCACCCGGCACGAAAAGACTGAGGCCGGCAGCCAAGAAGCACTTGCGTCGCTGGCGCTGGCCAGGAGCCACAGCAGAAGATTCTCGGAACTTTGGCGAGACTTGAGCCGACGACATGAACGCAGCGACTCGAGTGCACGTGAGACTGCAAGCGCAACTGCTCACATGCTCACTGCTGCCGGTACCTGGCTGCATTTCGCCAAGACAGGCGCATCGCTCGAAACGCCACCGGTCTGGCACTCGACGTAGGGTTCCATGTCTCGCAATGCTGCAACATCTTGCGCTTTCATCATGTAAGTGTACTGCAATGGATGCTACCAGTAGCACTGCATCTTAGCGTCATAAGAAAACCACTACATGGGACAAACCGACATCACGAAGTCAAGGAGAGCAACAACGAGCACAAGCATTTCACGGCACGAACATTTCAAATTTCATGCCATACATGCAAAATCAAGTTCAATCATAATTCTAGAGGAAATACTAACTACTAACTACCTGTATTGCGAATCCGGGGTATGGAAGCTCAAGGTTCAAGCCTATCCGTGTAGATGTGCTGCGAAATGGTAGGTCCGGTAGGTCCCCGAATGTGAAAGCTGGTGTGGACCCAAAGCTAGTAAGGCTTCCGCCTGAGTTTTTGGGCGGATCGGCTCCAGCGCGGCAGCACTTTCGCCCACGCGTTTGCGGTCACTTGTGCCCACGTCGTGGGTCACTTGTGCCCACATCCGCTCCAGCACGACCACATCCAATCACCCACGCGGCCAGCCCGACCAGACCCGCCCCGCAACGGGTGAGAGGGGGGGAGGGGGGAGTTTACATGCATCCCTCGCCCAGGGCTCTGTGCCGACTGCAGCATCTTCGCCCGATGGCACAAGCATGCCGATCCCGGACTGTGTTGTAGGTAAGTGGTAGGGCTAGTGGGGTTGAGAGGTTAGCTTGCTCTTTTCGGGCTTAGGGGTCCGGTTTTAGGGTCGAGGGTTTGATAGCTCCCAAATGATAGGCGGGTCACTTGTGACTTCT